CCGACTCACAGAGACCCTCCATACAGCAGAACACAGCACAGCCCGACTCACAGAGACCCTCCATACAGCAGAACACAGCACAGCCCGACTCTGCTCCAGCCTCACAGTTTTGTTGTTTGGACCCATTACTGCCACCACTGTATCAAGCCATCTTGTTGAGGGTCTCCCACTTTTTCCTGGTTCATGCATGATATCTTCTGTAAGGACTGGTCCCTCCTGCTAACACGTCCAAAGTATGCGAGATGGACGAATTCTCACCGTCCTCCCTTCTAAAGAGCACTCTGGTGGAACTTCCTCCGATTTAGGGTTCTCTTTCTTTCTGCAGCCCACGGTACTTTCAGTGTTCTTTGCCAACACCATAGTTCAAACGCATCAGGTCTTCTCCCAGCTCCTCATTCATTCCCAACTTTCATATGCATATAAAGCAATGAAAATGCCTGGGTCAGGCTCACCTTAGTCCTCAACATGACCTTCTTGCTCTTTAACACTTTAAAGAGATCTTTTGCATCAGATATACATCATATGATTTCCTGACTGCTGTTTCCAGGGGTGTTGATTGTAAATCCAAGTAAAATGAAAGCTTTGACAACTTATATTCTTTGTTTATCATGATATTCCTCCTTATTGGTCCAGATGTAAAGATTTTTTGTTTTCTTCACACTGAGATGTAATCCATACTGAAGGCTTTGATCTTAATCAGTATTTCAAGTCCTCTTCTCTTCCCGCAAGCAAGGGTATATCTTCTGCATATTGCAGGTTGTTAATGAGTCTTCCTCCAATCCCGATGCCACGTTCTTCGTATAGTCCAGTTTCCTAGGTTATTTGTTCAGCATAGAAATGGAACAAGTGTAGTGAAAGGATACAAGCCTGACACGTGGCTTTCCTGATTTCAGTGTTCCCTTGTTCTGGCCAAACAACTACCTCTTGGTCTGTGCGCAGGCTCCTCATGAGCATAACTAAGTGTTCCGGAATAGTCCTACTTTGCAGTGTTGTCCATAGTGTGTTAAGTGTGATCCCAGCAGCCTTAATCGGAAGTAGGCCTTTTGAATAGTCTATCCAGTATCTCATGTGCTATGAGATTTTTCCACTCCTGCTGGTGGCAATGTGGACTTTCCCCAGCCTGCTCTTCCTTTCTGGTGGCTCTATCCCAGCTGGCAGGGGCTTTCCTCAAATGTTCACCCAGCTCAGGGGCCAGCTGCAGACTCTGGGAACCATCTGTCACCTGTCTGTTACTCCATTGTGTTTGGAAGCAGAGGTTCCCCTTTCTGATATTTTTAAGATAAATGTTTCCCCCATTTCTCTTCACTCTTTGTATTTGGAACATGCCCTTGTCTCTCGCCGCTGTGTTCTGGTGTTGGTCCACTTGCTATTTTCTGCTCACCAGTTTTCCTCCTCTTGTGCCCAGTTTGTCACATCTGTTGAGCCTTTGCCATCCTATGTCCCCATCATGTCACGTGTCTAATCAGAGGCTCTGTCTTCTGAATTATTGCCATAAACAAGGACTTTTGGTGGGTCCTGTGGTTGTCCTTGCATCTAAGTGGGCACTGGTTTCTGATCCCACTGGTGCCTGGAACGTCCCGCAGTGAGAGGAGGCCAAGTTTGGAGTCAGGAGATGCATGTGTCCCGCCCCTGTACCCCACTGCCCCGAGCTGCTATGAAGGTGATAGGTGTCAGGGTGACGAAATGCCGGCTTCACGCCACCTGGGGTCCTCGCCTGCATCTGCCCTGCGTACTGAGAGAAACGGAAGTTCACCCATCAGATGCAGTGCTGCTGCTGATGTCCATGCAGGGTGAAGGGTGGAGGCTCGGGCAAGGATCACACAGGAATGGGACCAGGGTGCCTCTCAAGCCCGAGCTGAGCCCCAATCCTCTCCTTTCTATGACCTCTGGAATGCCTGCCCTTTCTCCTCACCAGGCCTCCACGGTTGTTTTTTGGTTTTTAAAATTTTATTGTGAGTTGAGTGACGGTTTACGGATAAGATCATCAGTTTTCCATCCAACCAACCACACCCTTTGTTTCAGTGACTGCAATCCCCTCCAGGGAACAACAGTCCCCCCACTGCCTTCTTCCCACCCCTTCTCAACTTTGTTCTTAGGTAAATGCTGCCCTTTTGGTCTTAGATGGTTGACCATTCTGTGTGGTGACCCCTGTATACCTGTCCATGTATGGCTTGGCAGGAAGTTAGGTCTCCCCCACACGTCAGGTTTCTGGCTCCTGGGGACTTGTCACCTGACTCCTGTTTGTTTGCTTCTAGGGTTCTTCTACTCTTTGAGCTAGCGCGCCTTTCGTTGTCCTTGAAATGCGAGGTGGTTGCTTCTGACTGCCTGTCAGACCTGAAGGAAATCCAGAGTTTGGTAAGTCCTTCTGTCCCTTGGTGAGTCTGTCTGTCTGTGCTGTGGGCCCCCACCCCTCTGCAGGGCTGCGTCTGTGAGGCAGAGGTCTCAGTGCTGTTGGTGTGCGTTCTGCATGGCTGAGACCCTGGGCTTGTGTAGTTTCATGTCACACCACCCTTTCCCTGTGACGGCAGGCCCTGACCCACGTGCCCCCGGGTTTGTAATCGTCAGTTTCATACAGGCATACCTGCCTTTACTGTACCTATGTTTCCTGGTCACCCCACATGGAACAAGTCTGTCGGCACCAGTTTCTTAACAGCGTGTGCTGACTTCGAGTATGTGTCACATTCTGTTGATTCTCATCACACGTAGACTGCTGTTCACATAATAGACTACAGTGTGACGTAAGCATGACTTTTATATGCACTGAGAAACCAAAGAGTGTCTGACTCACCTTAGTGCGATATTCCCACCCTGTGTCCCACCTTGTAATGGAGTTTCCACTTCAGAAAAAGACATGCAGATTGGAAAGGAAAACTGATGAAATCTACTAAAAAAAAAAAAAAAAGCTTCTAGAATCAATAAATGAGTGTCACAAGGTTGTGGGGTAGAAAACCAATTGTAGTCCTCTATTGTTGTTGTTGTTGTTAAGAGTCGGTTCCGACCCATAGCGACCCTGTACAGGGTTTCCGAAGGTGTAGTCCTCTATAGTAGCAGTGAAAATCAGAAGTTGGAATTGGAAAAACAAGTGCCCTTTAATTAGCATAAAACATGAACTACTTATGCATAATCTGATGAAGGATGTGTAAGACGGGTGCACTGAGAATGACAAAGCATTGCTGGTGTGAACTCTGAGATGGTAGCAGTGTTACCGTCTGCTCCTGTAAAGATTACAGCCTCTGTGGCGGGCTACACTGCAGTGGGGTCACTGAGTCAGAATCGCCTCCATGGCAATAGCTTTTTTATGGCATGTTAATAGACCCCACCGGTGATCAGATGCCAGTTTCCCCCAGATTAAGAAATAGATTTGTAAACCAAGGAAAATGTGAAAATGTCAAGGACCTCGAATGACTAAAAATAACTCTAAGAGTCTAACAAGAGAGCAGTCAGAAGCTTTCCACTCCAGGTCCAGCTGTCACATCAGTGTTGTCTCGGTGAGAAGACAGCATCATCAGCGGGACCAAGCAGAATCCAGAACAGAGCCAGAAACATACAAAGGTACCAAGGCGTCCAGTGCTCTGGTGGCATAGTGGTTACGAGTCGGGCTGTGAACCTCAAGGTTAGCAGTTCAAAACTACCAGTTGTTTCATGGGAGAAAGATGAGGCTTTCTGCACCCGTAAAGATTTGCAGCCTCAGAAAGCCTATACAAGGTCGCTATGAGTTGGAACCAACTCCACGGCACCTCACCACCACCCCCAAGGCGTTCGGTGCTGGAGCAAATGAATAATGATGTGTTTACAAAATAAAAAGGTCTCCAATCCATACTTTGCACCATATACAGAGATTAATTCAATGTGTGTTATGGATCTAAAAGTAATGCTTCCAGATAAACACACAAGGGGACTGTGACCTTGAGTCAAGCACAGGATTCCTAGATCGGCTGCCAAAAGCACAGTCCATGTAAGGAAAAAACAATCAATATATTGAACTCCATCAAATTAAGGACTCGTGCTCTTGGAAAGAATACAAAATACAAGCCAGTAACAAATCACAAACCTGATAAAGGGACTCATATCCAAAATACAGAGTGCAATGGCTCTGTAGGATAAGCACTGGACTGCAATCCACAAGGTCGGTTCAAGCCCACCAGCCACTCCACAGGAGAAAGGTGAGGCTTTCTGCTCCCACAAGGATTTACAACCTCAGAAACCCTATACAGGGTCACTATGAGTCAGACCCAATTCAACGGCACATAACAATGATCCAAAATATGTAAGAATTCTCAAAATAGTAAGAAAGAAAAAAGAAGACTCATCAAAAAGTCACCAAGGTTCAGAACAGACATTTCACCAGTGAAGATGTAAGATAACCAGAAAGCACATGAGAAGTCAGTAAAAGGCTTGGAAACCCAGTGAGATGTCACTTCACACCTGTTAGCTCTGCTGACGTGAGCGCACTGGCCCGGTCACACCTGATGAGGAGGTGGAGGAACTGGGGCTCTCATTCTCTGCTGTTAGAAATGTAAAATGGCGCAACCACAGTTGGGCATTTTTGTAAAAAAAATTAGATCTACATCAGCCTCAAAACCCACCCATTTCACTCCTAGGCATATAACCAAGACAAGTAAGCGCTTATATTCAGGCAGACCTTGTAGATGAAAGTTCACAGCAGCTTCATTTGTCACAGCGAAAAAGTGGTAACAGGCCAAATGTCTGACAACAGGGGCCTGGCTAAGCTGGTATTCCACCCTCACACGGAGTCCCCCTCAGCTGTACCAGGAACGACGAGGCCAAGCGGAAAGAGCACGCACGTGTCACAGGATTCTGTTTACATGAGATTCTAGAGCATGCAACGAAATCTCTGGTTCAGAAAGTAGACCAGCTGTTGTCCTGGGGACAGGGGAAGCAAGAGGGGCAGGAAGATGGCAAAGGGGCAGAAGGAAGCTTTGGGGCAATGTCTACTTTTATTCCTCTCTAAACCACAGTGACAGTTTCATGGGTTTAGGTGCACACATGTTTCACTGGATCATTTCAGCCTGTACGCTTTATTGTACATCAATTATATTTCAATAAAGCTGTTTAAAAAGAGGCCAAAAAAATCAGTGACTAAAAACTGTCATTTGAAGTTTGGAAATTATTGTTTAATTAACCAGGGAGCAACTTTCGGCCACTCACAGACCTTACAACTAGGCACAGCACCAAACCCAAACCCAAACCCAAAGCCACTGCCACTTCCCACTCCCAGCACCCCTCTGGGGGGGCTGGTGGCATGAGACCACCGTCCTGTGGTTCACAGTGGAGTGCTCATCTCATGGAGCCCCCACACTCCTGTGAGGTGTAGTGTTGTTGGGAAGTGCTGTGAAGTCAGTTCTCACAGTGTTTTCAAAATCCTCTTATCTCTGACAGGATCCTGGGAAGCTGATTGAAATCGAATGTCTTGAGTGTGAATTTGAAGCTTTTAAACTTGAAAGTAAAATGAAAGCCTATACCCGGGCAGCTGTAGAGGTAAATTCCAAACAAGTTGTGGGCCAGCATGCCCAGCCTCCTATGTCCCTGTCTGTGAGTGGGGTGGCACCGTGGAGCAATAGGGGTCTGCAGCCCCTAGAGCCAGCTAGCAACCCCCGTGGCAGCCTTGGCAGTGCGGAGGGGCCAGGGTCCTGGAGGCAGTGGGGAGGGTGTGGGAGGCCCCAGGAAGGGCACAGCACAAAACAGGAGGGGCATCTGGTGGTAACATGGCAGGTCCATTGTCCCAGAGACCGAGGTGTAGACAGTGTGAGTTCATCTCTTCTTGGAAGGCAGACATTCGCACAGACCTAGGACAGGACCTGGGAGACAGGATGGTGGGTGTGGCCATTGACAGATTTCAAGTGCTGTGCTGCTGAGCGTCTCCTGACCTCACCTGCTGACCCCTGCCTCTGAGACTGACCCTAACCTGGGTGCCCAGCAGTGCCCTGCTCTGAGGCATGTGGTGTGACAACCTCACAAGTCTCTGGGCTCCCTGGTGGTCACAGAGCAGCGCTGTGTCCTGTGCAGACTCAGCTGAGCATTGTCCAGAGGCTGGAGATTGCGCTGCAGCGCGCCGTGCGCCTGGGCGAACCCCGCATCATCCACGTGGTGTGCGCCACACAGTGGAACACCTGCCTCCCCCTGCTCCAGCACAACCTGCGCCACCACCTGCGGAAGGCCCTGACCAGCATCTTGGAGGCCCTGGAGAAGGTGGACAGGTAGGCTGCTACGGTGTCTGTCCTGGCTCAGTGTGAACCCCCTGCGTCGACACCTGCACCTATGTCTACACCTACACCTACGTCTATACCCACACAGCTACAGGAACAGCCAAGTGCTCTGACAGTCTGTGTGGGCCTGCTCTATGTGCTGACCCCTCAAAGTTAGGAGGAAAGTTACCAGATGGACACCAGAGAGATGAGGGCCAGCTGCTAGGCAACCGTAGCCCACAGCTGTGTGGGTGAATGAGGGACCAAGGTGGGGAGGGTGCTGTGGGGCCCCTCTCACTAGCCACTCACATACCTGTCCATCTACGCCCTGGCCCCACCTCACTGGCCCCTCCCACCTCACTGGCCACTCCCACTGCACTGGCCACTCCCACCTCACTGGCCCCTCCCACACCTGTCCATCCATGCCCACAGCCTGATGGTGCTGCTGCGTTGTCAAGTGCACATGGAGATGGCCCACATCGAGGAGGACCAGGACCGCCTGGAGCCCGCCCTGGAGCACCTGCAGAAGGCTGTGCACTTGGACTGCCTGGGCCTCTACCAGGACCAGCTCAGGATGACCTCCAACCGCTTGCGCCTCTGCACGCTGCTCTACCAGTCACCTGAGCGAGCTGAGGACAAGGCCACCATGGCCATTGAGCAGGTGTCTGCCGAGCCCTGGGGAAGTGACCGCAGGTTTCAGCAGGGCACCTTGTTTGGGGTCGTGAGAACCCACATGCCTGTCTTCCCACCATCTTCCTTCCTGAAGGCAAAGAAGGCCATGCCCAAGGACAGTGTGCGGAAGAAGCGGGCCCTCCTGGTGAACGCTGGCCTGGCCCTGGCGCCAGATGCCTTCCAGATTGTGCTGGACAGTGAGAATGAATCCAAAGGTGGGTGATTGGTTGGCGGGGGTGCCGGGCTGGGGGTGGGAGTGGGCGATGAGGCTGACTGAGACTCATTGGAGGACATCACACCCAAGGGTGCAGCTGGTTCGGTGTGGGTCCCATTGAGAGACGGGGCCCAGGAAGTGCCTCCCTCAGCTCCTGGAGGCTGGCGTGGCCTCTGGGGTCCCACGGTCCCTGCTGGCTGCTGAGCCGTTGCTGGGGCCGGGCTGCCATCTTCCTTCTCAGTTTCCATCGGGAAAATCAGGAGCCGGTTTTCCGACCTGTTCGCCAAAGCTCGTCACTTTACCATCAGTGTGGACAAAGCTGCCGGACACTTGCGGCGTTTGGGAAATGAAAATGACAAAGAGAGGTAACTCCTGTCGTGCCCCCCCCCCCAGAACTGAGCCATGCCCCCACCTGGAGCAGCCCCCTGTCTGGATTCGCCCCCCAACCTCCCATCCCCCTTGAAACAGTAGAACCAATGAATGAATGCCTTTTTCTGGAAGGTTCTAGTTCTAGGTGTTTGGTAGGTTATCAGCAGCACCTGAATTTCCTCTCTTGGGGCACAGAATACAGATTTGGGGCGAGTTAGCCAAAGTGGCCCGGAAGCAAAGCGTCTGGGACGTGTGCCGAGCTGCCAGCCGTTTCTGCTTGCTGTATGACATCAAGGTCAAGAAGACGTCCAAGATCAAACGAGGTGTGCGCTGCAGCCCCGCCTACGCTTGTCAGACATGCCCAGGACTGCAGGACATCCTGAGGGCCCTCGTTAGGGACAGGAAGACAGAATAGATGAGGGGTCACCGGAACTGTACCAACTCCTGCAGCCAGTGGCAGGCTTGTCTTTCATGTCCTCTAATT